TTCTCTTTCAAGACAGAGTAGAGTGGTTACTTTCTATGCCAAAAAGATAATTTATATTCCCAGGGTGAACAAAGGAACACCTCTTACTAGAGCAGCAGAAAAGAAAACACATATGCACACATTTTTTAATTGCTGCTATATCATATTAAGGAAGTTGGACTTTATCCAACTTGTAGGTATTTGGTAAGCCATTTAAAAGTTTTAGGTGGAAGAGTCACAAGATCATTTTGGCAGGGGCAAAGAAGATGAAATAGAAGGGGAGAAAAGAGGACAGTTTTGAAACCACTTAGCAGGTAGAATTGACAGGATCCATGAATGATTTGATATTGAGTTAGATAAGAATCCAGAATAACTGCCTGATTTCTAGCCTGGGTGATTGAGTTGATAGTGGTACAGATAAATGACACAGAAGCACAGAGGAGGAGGAGACTTGGGTGAAATGTAGGTAATGAGCTTAGTTTGGAACATGTTGAATTTGAAGGTCTGTGAGACATTGAAGTGGTGATACTCAGCTGACACGAAGATTATACTGGGTTTGGAACTAAAGGGAGTACAAGACTGAAGAAGTAGTTTTCAGAACCACCAGGATATATGTGGTAGTAAAAAACATGGAGGGGAGCTGAGGATGGAACACTGAGGGACATCAACTTATACCAGAGGAGAGAGGAATTGGAGGCAGCCAGGGTTTCTGAGAATTAGCCATTTAAGAAGCAGAAAGTGGTAATGCAGAGGGTAAGAGAGAAGAGGGGTGAGAAGGAGGAAGTGGTCAGTTGTGTTGAAGGCAGCACAGAGGACTCAAGTGTCCAGTGGATTTGGCAATTACCAAATGGTCAACTTTTGAGCAGTTTCAGCTGAGTGGGGTGAAAAGAAGTCAGGTTTTAAATGTAGAGTGAAGCCAAAGAATGAGGGACCATGTCAGATGTCTTCCCTTTGTCCCTCCAGATCCATGCTCTACCCTTTGCCACTCTGCTGTCTGTCCCAGATCAATGGCAACAGAATACCATTGAGTGACTCCATTGAGTTTGGCCAAGAGTGAGCCCTGGGAGGAGGCTGGAGGGAAGAAGGAGTGGGGTGGGGTTATATATTCCCCCAATTCCCTCTTTCTGGAGTTGGTTGCATTCATTCAACCAAAGGTCCCAACTCTCTCCAGCTGGGTTCAGGTAACCACTTTCTCCTGGCTCCTCTCGGGCCTCATTCAGAGATGCTAGACCTAGTGTTCTCTACCACCCTTTGTTTTCTCTACATCCTGTCTACACCTTTATTACTAGTCCTTTATTAAACCTTCCACGAGTCATCCTAATTTGAGCACACCATCTATATCCTGCTGGAGCCCTGAATGACGCAAGGAGGAAGCCTGGCTGGGAAGAGCGAAGAGATAGAGATATGCAAATACAAGGAAGGTTTTGTCATGGGGCTTATTTTGTAAGGGCTAGAGAGGTTTGGCTATATTGACAAGCTCATGAAGTTTCAACAGCCAGGCCTATTTCAATGGAGTGATCTGATAGGAAGGAAGAAATGGGCAGAGAGCTCTTATGCTAGCCTCTGGAGTTGATGACATTATTGGTGGCCTCACCACTATTTCCTAAGACGTTCTAGAACCTGTGTTTCCAGTTAGACCAAGACAGCCCATTTGCCAGGTTTGCCCATGGCTGTGTTGGCAAGTGTTGGTCTGAGCCATGAGTTCATGGAAAAGTAGACACGGAGACTATAGGAGAAAGAACAAAGGTCAGGACCTTAATAAACCCAGGTACACATCTCAGTACACCAAGGCAGTTGGACAATAAACAAAGACATTGGTGTTTTTTTAAACTTTGCAAGGCTCTATAGGAACCAGCCTTCTCACCTTGCCAATCTCCTCCCTTGCTCTCTTGTGGGTTGCTGATTTGATTGTACGGTTCTGCCTCACTGGCCTCCTGTCACTTTCTCAAATAATAATAACCCTGTTCTGCCCTTGAGCCTGAATTCTGACTTTTCCACTGCCTGTGACCTGGCACTTTCCCCAACTCTTATCCAGCTAACTCCTTCTCATCCTCAGATTTCATTTTAAATGCCACTTCTTCAGCAAACTGACCACTCAATCCAAATCAGTTCCTTTTATTCCTCTTCTTCAGTGAGCCCTGGACTCCACTTCCGTGTAGTCACCACATTTGAAAATGTATTAAAGTGGTGGGGCGCCTGGGTGGCTCAGTCAATTGGGCATCTACCTTCGGCTCAGGTCATGATCCCGGAGTCCTGGGATCGAGTCCCACCATCGGGCTCCCTGCTTGGCATAAGCCTGCTTCTCCCTCTCCCACTCCCCCTGCTTGTGTTCCCTCTTTTGCTGACTCTCTCTCTGTCAAAAAATAAATCTTTAAAAAAATAAAATAAAATAAAATAAAATGTTTTAAAG